ACAAGCCCTTTCTTTTGTTCTTATTGTTTTGGTCTCAATCCAGGCAAGAGATGCAGACTTTAGGGGTCCACGTCAGCATGGTTGAACCTGGTTTTTTTTCAACACATATCTACGATTTTCTGGAGGAGTCCTTGCAGAGAATATGGCACCAGCTGGCCCCAGACATTCAAGAAAGTTATGGGCAGAAGTTATTGAAAATGTGTGAGATAAAGGGGAAAGAGCTTGTGGGGGAAGGCTGTTTGATGGTAACCGAGAAAGCGCTAGAGGGCCAGATTCTCAGGCATGCCTTTTGCTTTCACTATCGTAATTTTGAGAGTCCTAGGGTGATCACTGTGTTTGTTATGCGTGGGTCTCTCAACCTGGTTGGTTGCTATGGTTGTCCACTAGCTACTGGCCCATGCTGATGTGGTGAATGTTGTCTTAACTCAGCGGCCTGGAGGAGGAGCCTTTATTCACAATTCCTCTGTTTACAGTTCTCTCATTTCCCCCCCTCTTCCAACCTCTTTCAGCCCATCGCCCTTTTCTTTCTATGTCTGCTGAATGGTCCTTCTTGGGCGCTGCCCCCCTCCCTTGTGCAATAGATTATCCCCTGAGGGCCGGGGGCTCCAACCTGCTAGTTGTTGTAAGGCTGAATAGACCATGGTGCTCCACTGAGTGTTGAGGTGCTATGGGCAGTTCTGTTTGACATGATTTCCTTTAGTTTATTAGATGACTTCTTACTTAATTTATTCCTTTTTTGGAATGTCTTGGTGTTTGGAATTTGTTTTATTATATGGCAAGTGTGTTATTGTAAACCCTAGAATTTCTGGATTGAGCACCATACAAATAAATACATGATCATAATTTCAACATGTTCAAAACCCATGCCCTTGTTATCTCTCAGATAGACTACTGCAATGCGCTCTACATGGGGCTACCTTTGAAATGTATCCGGAAGCTGCAGCTGGTCCAGAATGCAGCTGCGCAGGCTATTTTTGGAGCCTCTAGAAGGGCCCATGTAACGCTGTTGCTCCACGAGATGCACTGGGTACCAGTTTGCTTCCGGGTCCAATTCAGGGTGTTGGTTATCACCTTTAAAGCCCTACATGGCATGGGACCAGGTTACCTAAGGGACCGCCTCTCCCCCATGACTTCAACCCGTCCCACCCAATCACACAGAGAGGGCGTGCTTCGGACCCCTGCAGTAAAAGAACTCCAATTAGCGGGGTCCAGAAGGTGGGCCTTCTCTACAGTAGCCCCTGCTCTCTGGAATATTCTGCCCCTGGAGGTGTGATTGGCCGCCTCACTCCTGGCCTTCTGAAGGGCTTTGAAGACCTGGTTATGTCACTTGGCCTGGGGTGGGGAGGGAATACCTCAAGCGTGGGGATGGCTAGCCCCATAGAGGCCTGCTGTCTTCAGCCCCAGATTCTTCATCTTCTTTGACCCTCCTTTCCCTTTTTTTTTAGTAATGTTTTTAAATTTTGATGTTTTATGTATTTATATGTATTTATGGTCTTAATGTTTTGTGTGAGTCGCCCAGAGACCCCTATTGGGGGGAGATGGGCGGGGGAGAAATTTAATATACAAACAAACAAACAAATAAATGTTGATAAGCTTAACTATCCATGGAGAGTAAATTGGGCACTGATTTTAAAAGCCAGGACTATTACAAGAAACCTCAAAATTTCTCCTGAGATGATGGCTTCTGTGCTTAATGCTTTTCACACCTAGATTGCAAAACAATGCAATTTCTCAAGAGGACTAGTGGGAAGAACCTCCGTTTGGTGACAGACTGCATAGAGCATGCCTTAATGTCCCACCATCCTCGTGCTCGTTACTCAGCTGGCTGGGATGCAAAGCTGCTCTTCCTGCCTGCCTCTTATTTGCCAAGCTGGGTGGTGGACTGGGTATTTTTAGTTGTTTTGTATGTAACAGCACACACAAGTTACAATGGCTCATTACTATCTTGAGAAGCTAGTTAGCATTTAAAGGAGAAGATGTGGTTTGCATCCTGACTGGATTCCCAAGAGTTCATTTCAACAAGTTGGCATCTCTCACTTTTGCAAACATTCAACAAATGTTTAAATGTGGAAGGGGTCTACCAACTGTTCAAGTTGTCTTCTAAATGAAGTCCATTAAAGAGCTTCCTTCAATTTGTTTCACACATTTTTCTTTTGTTGCTACCTTGTTGTCTCGTCTTAGACTAAAAATGGGATTTTAAAGAATTAAAAGCTATAAATAAAGAAATCACACAAAAACAGCCATTAACTTGATTATTATTTCATGGTATACAAGAACCAGATTCAGTGCCAGAAAAGAGTAATTGGCAGAGAATGTGGGAAACAGAAAATACCAACTTTAGTTCCACTGGAAACACTGAAACAATGAATTCAGCCAACAGTCATTCTCATCCAGATAATTTTGCAGCACAATCCTTTCCTTTCCTTTGTTATTTTAAAAATGATTCAGCAGTGCAACATTAGTCAATACAAACAAGGTATTTTAGAGCAGTCATATTATTATAGCAATCAACCATATACCTTTAACTCTATCTCTTATTCCATGGTTGACACAGTCAACTCTTTTGATTGTTTTGTTACGGTTAAACGTCCTACTTTTCAAGATCTAAAATGAAGAGGTAGTTCCACGATACAAAACGCCCAGCTTTAAAAGCCACAGTTGAAGCCCCTTGAAATACCCCTTCTCCTAGAAGTGAACCCAGCAGAGCCAACCAGTCTCTCTTGGCAAGGACGAATATGTGTGAAGGGCACAATGCATTGTGGTGTTGTGGATGGAACACTGAACTGGCATTAAAGAGGCCATGGTTACATGCGTGGTGAGCCATGGCAATGATGGGAACTGTTAGGGCCCCCCAAAGCATTTGAACGAGGCCCTTCACAAAAGGCAGCAGCGTGAGTATGACCTCCTTCTGAAGGAGCATGGAAGAGCTGTGCCCTTTGGAAGATTTGCATGACTGTTTCAAAGGCTGCCTTGCTTCTTGGTTCTTGCCGAGCTTCCTTTAATTTGTTTGACATGTTTTTCTTTTGTTGCTACCTTATTGTCTCGTCTTAGGCTAAAAATGGGATTTTAAAGAATTAAAAGCTATAAATAAAGAAGCCACACAAAAACAGCCGTTAACCTGAGTATTATTTCATGGTATACAAGAACTAGATTCAGTGCCAGAAAAGAGAAATTGGCAGAGAATGCGGGAAACAGAAAATATCAACTTTAGTTCCACTGGAAACACTGAAACAATTAATTGATTAAATCACGCAAAAACAGCCATTAACTTGAGTGTCCCGTTGATGCCAAACAGATGTCTGCATGCATACAAGAAATGTGAGAAATGGCTTGAAAGCAGCTTGAGACTGCTGGAGGTTATGGCTGCTTTAAGACTTCGAGGAGAGATGCTCAGTTTGTGCCCAGCTGCTTTGTGAAACACTCCTTTGAAGTGTTTTGCATAATCCTGTCATCGTGTGGCATTTGCTACCTTTTAGCCTTTGAGGATTTGTTGGGGCTATGTTGTAGGGTAGAATAGATTTCAACATGAACAGAAGTGAAGGCAGTTGTATCTTTCTTGCAGCCTCAAGACTTTTGCTTCTTTGTTTCTGTTGCTTTTTGGAAACCTGCTGTTTGGATCAGCTGTGGTCAGAAAACCCCTGTTCATCAACATTTTCTGCAAAGAACT